ACTTCGAAGGCTGGGCACGCAGGGTGGGCAGCGGTGGCCTCCTTTCTCCCAGGCCTGCCCTGAGGGCGCCCCACCAGCTCGGGCCACCCTGCTGAGTCTGTCTCAGGGACCGAGCCCCCGCCGGACCTCAGCGTCATCCAGCCCTGGACCCGGCGGGACAGGGTGTGTTCTGCCAACGCAGGGCACAGCAGGCGAGCCCTGGCCACCTCCTTCCCTCAGCGACGGGCCCTTCTGTGCCAGCACCCAGCTGAGCTGCCCACCGCCCGGCCTCTTTCCTGGCTGGGCATCCTCCATCCTCGCCGGATCCCCTGTGGAGACAGGGAGCCTGTGGGGGCTCCCAAAAGGGGGCGCCCCTGCTCTGTCCAGAACCCCAGAGGCTCCTTCCAGATGGGATGCAGGTCCCCGGAGGCCCCTGAATGGGGTGCTGGGAGCCTGTGGGAGCCCACGCCCTCCGTGGAGACACCTGTGGTCTCTCCAGAAGGTGAAAGAGGACTTTTGTCTCCTAAGCTTTGAAAGCCCAGCAGAAGGATCGACGCCAGCCTCCCCTGCAACACGTCAGTGTGGCCTCTGGTGTCTGCGAGGGCACCGTCCAGCGGAGTCCACCCCTGTGTCTGCAGGGACGCCCCCTACCTCCCGTTCCCGCCTGTCCTCGCAGGCACTGGGGACACCGGCCGGCGGCACACTCAGCAGGCTGCTGGAAGGGCAGGGGCTGGGCATTTCAAGACTCAGGGGACGGAGCCCCCTCAGCAGACTGCTGTCCTCACTCCACAGGGGCCCGTGGCTGGGGTCTCACTGCCACGTGGATTCACATTTACGGGTTAGAACAACCACAGCCATGTGGGTGGACACCGTTTCTATGGAAACACGAGTGAACATGGTCTTGGCGACTCTAATTCAGGGAACAAAGCAACTCAGTGGTGTCAGAGGTCTTTTGTCCATGGAGATCATGTATAGGCGTGTGTGCCAACACGCCCACCCAAACGTGTGCACACAGTCACACACTTGTGTACACACCCTGAATGTGCACACTTGCACACACACACGCTCCGAGGCACAAGTGCACGTGGGCCAGTCATCACCTGCTCGGCGGTGGCTGAGGCAGAGCTGCTCAGAGTCGAGCTCACGCGTGGTTCCGGACAAGCGGTCAGGGCGGCCTTATTTTTCACGAACACAACAGTTTGCAGAGCCTTTCTTAGGGAGAGGAGGGGGCAGGGCCACAGGGCGAGGTGGAGTCCCCAGTCACTCCATCACCGGCAGAGGCCACAGCCCAGGCGCCCGTGACCTCGTCACCTCAGGAATGAGCCTCAGAGCAGAGACTTCGGCAGAACACAAGGAGATACCACATTTGCACCAGGCTGCCACAGGCCGCGCTGGGTGCCCGGAGAGGCGGGGCGTCTGGGAGGCCGCGGCACAGGGTGGAGAGCGAGTGCGGCCCTGCCCACCCCTCTGGCCGCCTGCAGGCCGTTCAGGGGCTGTGCTGGGCTGCAGCTGCAGGGCCAGCGAGGCCGCTCTAGCTCCGTTATCGAGCGATGGGCTGGCTGGCTGGCACCTCCCTGGCGAGATCCGAGATCCGTAAACCGCGCCCTGGGGCAGTGGGCGCAGGCCTGAGCCCGGAAGGTGCTGTTGGCAGCAGCCAGGCGGCGCTGTCCCAGCTCAGAGTCCTTCCCCAGGACCCCCAGGCCTGGGCTGGCCTCATTCAGGGGCCTCCAGGACCTGCATCCCATCTGGAAGGAGCCTCTGGGGTTCTGGACAGAGCAGAGGCGCCCCCTCTTGGAGACTTCTCTCCTTCACCAGCGGAACGAGGGGGACGAGGCCTCTGCTCCTCCCACTGACCTGCCCACCCTGTTAGGCCCTGAGGCGAGGGCCCTCCGGGAGGGCGGGGCATGCCCTTGTCCTCCCTGCCTGGATTTCCGCTGACAGCACCGCGTGTCTGAGTGGGGTGCATGGTTCAAAACAAGCCCAGTGACGGGCCTGCTGCGGACAGCCTGCTTCCCAGGCTGGGGCAGCCCCTTCACTGTCCTCTTCCTCTTTGGGCAGCCAGACAGCGCGCCCTGCAGTGTCCCTGCAGAAAGCCAGTCACGGAGAGTGATTTGAACGTGCCCTGGTGTGTCCTGTGCCTAGATCGGAGCGACCCCTGGGTGGGACCTGTCATGGAAGGAAGCTCTAAGGAAATCAGAGACCCCCCCCCACCCTGAGCGCGTGATGGGCGTGGCCTGCGGGGCCCGAGGAGGCGGGTCTCCTCGCGCACCTGCGGTTGGGGGCGGGGCTGGCGTCCTCAGCCGGCTGTACACTCTCCAAGGTCCCAGTCGGTCCTCAGTGGGGACTCTGACCGGCCGAAGAACAACTCGGACCTGGGAGCCGTGGGCTGGAATGGCCGTGAAGTGGGCAGAGACCCGGAGGCCGGGCTCCCCGGCACACGCAGGGAATCTCTTCGGCGAGAAAAGGCGTCTCCTGCACAGCGGGGACCAGTCACTCCTCGTGCAGTGCGGAGTCCGCAGGAGAGTCCACGGCTGTGCGGGAGACGGACAGCCAGGGACCGGCTCCTTCCCCGGGCCCTGCCTGCCCAGCGGTCTCTGGGTCCGGGGGCACTAGGGGCAGGGACTATTGGGTTCAAAAGCAGGCGCCCGGCCGCTCGGCGGGGTCTCGCCGTCTGTGCTGCTCGGGGTTGTTGGGCAGAGAGAGCGGAACCCACGAGGCATCCGGGCACCTTGCTCAAGGTCACGCGAAGGGAGGTATTGTCACAGCCTCCCCCTTCCCCTCCGCTGTGACTCAGCCTTGACCTGGTGTGGGCCGAGCACGTGAGGGGCTGTGTTCTGATCTCCGGACCGGTTCGGCCCAGAGTGCGGCCGGTGCCCGGTGCGCTCATCCGGTGCCCGTGTGAGCATTCGGGGCTCGGGGCTCCGGGTCACGGCCAAACAAACAGGCCGAGTCTGCCGGTGAGGAGGCGGACCTGAGATTGTCAGGACCGCGAGGTTTGCATTTCCGCCGGCCTTCCGCTCGGCGCTGGGCAGCGGTGCCCCCAGGCCCAGCGCAGGGCAGCGGTCCCCCCACGCCCCGGCGCTGAGCAGCGACCCCCCAGGCCCGGGGCAGGGCAGCGGTCCCCCAGGCCCGGGGCAGGGCAGCGACACCCCCAGGCTCGGGGCAGGGCAGCGGTGCCCCCAGGCCCAGCGCAGGGCAGCGGTCCCCCCACGCCCCGGCGCTGGGCAGCGACACCCCCAGGCCCGGCGCTGGGCAGCGACACCCCCAGGCCCGGCATCTGCTGGAGAAGGGGCAGAGCGGCGGCTTGGTGGTGCGGGGCGGGCCGTGTTCACAGTGAAGGGAAAGGCCGACGGCAGACCCGGCTCATGTCATGTCATGCATGTTACATATATGTGTGCGCATGCCGTGTGTGTGCGTGTCTGATAGTAACGGAGTGGCAGACGTGGTTGTGAATGATCCTAAAAGCAGGGGAAACAATGATGAAAATGATGTCTGCTTCAGAAATGAGTCCACCGGCCTAAATAACCCTAAAACGTGCTCTAATTCATGCGTAACACCGGAAGTGGGCATTTGCCCGTCTGTTTACGTGTTTATACACGTGTGGAAACGCGAGCGAGCGGAGGGGTCCCCACGCCTTCACTCCCGAGGTTCCCAGGCGGCCTTGCTCCTGAAATCACCGCACGCAGGCCGCCCGCCTGGGATCCGCCGCCTGGTCCCTCCTCTGTCCCCGAGGAAGGGCCCCCCAAGAAGGGCCACGGGCTGTGCTGAGCCCCCTCCCCCACCGAAAGTGCCTGTGAGGCCCTGGCCGATTTGGCTCAGCGGTTAGAGCGTCGGCCTGCGGTCCTGAGAGACCCGGGTTCGGTTCCCTCTAAGGGCATGTACTTCGGTTGCAGTTTGTCCCCAGCCCTGGTTGGTCGTGCGGTGGCAGCCACTCGATGTGTCCCTTTCACGTCGATGTTTCTCTCTCTCTCTCTCCCTCCCACTCTGTCTGTACAAAAAATGGAAAAATGTCCTCGGGTGAGGATAAAAAAAAAAAAAAAATTAGAAAGAGCCCGTCAGAAGCCGCGTGAAGCAGGTGGAGACCGAGAAGGCTGAATTCCTCCGGGCCGGCCTGCGTCCACCACACCCTCGCCCTGCGCCTCTGGCCCTCGGGCTCTGCTGCTGTCACGGAAGGTTTCGGTGCTGGGGAAGGGGCCAGAGGCCGCGGAAGGGCGGGCTCAGAGGAAAGCCAGCGGCTTTGAAAAGCCGTCGACACCAGGAACAGGAACTCGGGGCAGTTTTCGGGCCCAACAAGGGACAGACAGAGAAACCCTTTGCACAAGCGCAAGGAGGCCAGGTTGGGAGCTCGAGGAGGACCCGCTGCCCTGGGCTCCGCGGGGGCCGGGACTTTGTGCAGTGGCTCCACCCCCTGGTGGAACAGTGGGCCCGGGTTCCCTCCGCCCTGCCCCCCACTCAGGACGGGGGCGGAGCTCCGAGTCTCCGCCCGGCCTGCCCTCAGCCTGGTGAGTCACTGCACCCAGGCAGAGCTCCAGGCCGAGTGGAAAAGCCACAGGAGGCCAGAGCGCGCCGCCGCGGGCAGAGAGGCCGCGTGTGGGGGACACGTCACGGGGCCACCGCGGAGAGGCAGTGTCATAAAAGCAGTCCCAACACTGAGTCACTTCGTCCTGACACTAAACACACAGTATCCAGGCTTTGGGCAATTTCATTTCCTCATGAGGGATTTTTGACGGGCGGGCACATGCGTGAGCAAACCAGAGAGCACCTGGCAGGGAACGTCTGGGAAATCCATGCAAGTAAACCCCAAAGGGCAAGACCAGTGGGGCGAAGCCCACGCCACGGGCGGCCCCGGCGGGGCAGGGGCTGGGGGAGCTGAGGCAGCCCCCCCCCAGGTATCTGCAGAGTCCCGTCTTCAGTAAGGAGAGCAGGTTCACACAGCACCCGCGAAGCTAAAGTGAAACCCCCCAGCGGAACGCACGTGCCCAAATGTCCCCTGGAATCACGCCCCCTAATAACCCACATACCAAACACCTCGCTGTCTTCCGAGGGCTCCCGGGAAAGTTCCCGAAGGTTCCTCCTTCTTTCAGACTCCCCTCTGGTAGCTTCATCATCCTGGAAAACAAAACAAAAACAGAGGTTTATCGGCAGAATAACTCACTGCGCTCCTGTCCTTATACACTGCGGGGCGGACGGCCACTCCGGCGCGTGGAAGCCGCCTCGGCTCAGGTGGGTGCTCTGTGGGGGACCCCATCTCTGTCCCTCTGCCTGAGCAGGAGGCTTCTCACGCTCCAGGAGATGCATCTCCATACGAGGGAAACTGGATGTCGTCGGGGTGCACCCTCACCCCAACCCTATTTCCTGACATATCGACAGAGTTGAAAACATTTCCCTGTGTTGCCAGGGCTGTGGCATGGCAGGGACCCTCCTGGGAGCTGGACAAACAGCCACAGCTGTTCATGTAGGATAAGCCACCAGAACCTCGCTGTCCCTGTGCCTGGGGCACCCCCTCCCCTGCTTCCTGAGCCTGGTGCAGGCAGAGGTCAAGAACTCTGACCCCACCCAGCGCCCGTCCCCTCAGCAGCTTCTCTGTGCCCATCGTCCTTCCTGACCACCACCACCCCCCCCCGAAGTCTGACATTGTCACAGACACCTGCTTTTTTTTTATCCTCACCCGAGGACATTTTTCCATTTTTTGTTCAGATAGAGTGGAAGGGAGAGAGAGAGAGAGAAACATCGACTTGAAAGGGACACATCGAGTGGCTGCCACCCAAACAACCAACCAGGGCCGGGGACAAACTGCAACCGAGGTACGTGCCCTTAGTGGGAACCGAACCCGGGTCTCTCTGGACCGCAGGCCGACGCTCTAACCGCTGAGCCAAACCGGCCAGGGCGACACCTGCTTCTTTATTCCTCTCTCCCGGTGATGCTGTGCACTTTTTAAGAATGGGGACCTTTCCTTATGCACCTTTCTGTCCCCACCTCACAGTGCCTGGCACCAGCTTGTGCTAGAGAGAAAAATGTTCAGTCCTACCCTGTTTAAGAGTAGTTCAAATAGATGGTTTCTGTTTCAGCAGAGGGAACCAAAGGTGGGCCGAGATCTCTTTTCATGTCTCCCTACTTAACGCTAGGGCAGGAGGACTTGGGACGGAAGGAACCGCGTGGTTGTTTCTTTCACGAGCTGTAAACTCCTGCCGCACGCGTGTGTCCCTCAGCCGGTTCCGCAGCTGATTTGTCACGTTCTTCGCTAGGTGGAAAGCAGGGTTTTCATTTGGGACGTGGTGAACACGACCTGCCACCATCTCGTTCCACGGATGTCGTTTAACGCTCTAACACCTACCGTGGGTCCCCCTCCAAGCCACTGTGTCTTCCAACAAGAATGGGTGTTTTTTCCTGTCTCGGCGATAAGCAATACCGAGTCTCCGAGGTGAGGGCATTTCAGGTTCGGAGGAGAAGCTTGAGGTTAACGCAAAGCGACAGATGCTGGTCACATGGTCACAGCCTCCCTGGCCCGTGGCTCGGCTGCAGGGGCAGAGGCATCTGCACGTCCTGTGCGGACATCTGTCCCGAGCGGCACAGCGCCCACTGTCCACTCCTGACCTAGAGTGGTCACAGGTGGGACCCAGAGCAGAGACGATGGTCAGGACCTCAAACTTCACCCACCTCCTGGGGTCCTGTCCCCTCTCAGGCCCAGTGGTGTGTGGGTACAAATGACCTGTGGAAACCTAGGGACTCGTTTCTGTCCCAACAAGGAACATGTACCTGAGACCTGACGCTGCTGCTGTCCTGTGCACACCAGCATGTCCTGTGAATGACACACTTCCAATGAGCGAAACGTCCACAGACGAGCCCGGCGGAGCCGGGATGAAGCATGTCGAGCACCGCGGGACGGGCACGGTGAAGACTGGGAGCGTCCTGTCAGCCACGCTCGGCTCGGCACCGAGGGCCAGCCCGCGCCCGGGAGCCCAGCGGACACCGCGCAGGGACCTCCTTCCCAGCGGGGTCTGTGCCCTGCGTACCTACACGCAGAAGCCGTGTGGCTTTCCCTCGGGGGTCTGGGCCCCCCGCAGCCCCCGTGTGGGAGCGCCCACCCCCGTGCAGCCCGTCTCGTTCCCATGATCATTTCAGGGGGGACGCGACGAGACAGAGTTCTCAGAACCACAGGTAGACTGAAGAGTGTCCCCACGGAGGTGAGCGTCCTGTGCAAGGGCATCGGCACAGCGTCCGCCGTGAACTGAGCGAGGGGCTGTGTCCCGGCCTCCATCTCTCAGTGGTTGTCACTCACGTGTGATCAACATGTCTCCTTGGCCCATCTGTTCTCTGCTTGATGGCTGAGCCCTGGGGCTGTTGAAACCCCTGCGGGTCTGGTGTCCCCTCTTGTCATCACACAGAGGTCACCCACCCCCGCCCTGCAGTCCCAGCCCCGGCGGAGCCAGCAACTTTTCTCTTCTTCCCTGGCTCCAAGTGGCCACCTGGACGGGGACGTGGGGTGGACTCTGTCTGCTTCGGTTGAAGGGTTTGTACGTTCTCTTTAAATAGAGGAGTGGCTATTTCTTGCATTTCCCAGAGAAGCATGGCCCTTTAAGTGCCTTCTCTTGACCTGGGTGGGAGGCCACGTCTACGGAGAGGCCCTCAGAGCCCCCAGCAGCCGGCGGGGTGTCTTCAAAGCCAGCCAGAGCCGGCTCCAGGGACACTCGCTCCATCAGAGTCCGAGGGCGTCCGGTGAGCTCGAACCGAAGAGCCCGGCTGCACCGAACACCCTCTGAAAGTGGGGTCAGACTCTTCCCACTGCTCACAGGCATCGGGGTCCCACACGAGAAGATCCAGTGAAGGGGGGCCGCCAAGGATGTAGGGGTCAGGGTCACCCCCTGGGGGTCAAACCTCAATCCTTCCACTGTGAGTGTGTGCGTGTGGGTGCGTGTGGTGGAAGAGAGACAATCCTACAATGCTGAGCTTGTAACGCAGCACTTTTGGTTTGTTTCTTAAGACACAGGGTCATTCTTAGACTTGCTCTCAGCTGGGTTTGGGGAAGTAACAAAGGATACTAGCAAACGTTGACAGTTTGGGGGATCACAGTAAAGAACGCAAAGAGGCATGAAGAGCTGGGTCTTGTGACTGGCTCGTCTCAAAAGCGTGTCCCCTTCATGCAGAGGCCGGACAGGAGGGGACACCCCGCCAGGGCACACTGGGACTGTGCAGCCGGGCTTCTCGAGGGTGGTGCTGGTGACGTTTGGGGCTGGGCAAGTGCTGGTCCTGGGGTGTAGGCAGTCCTGTGTGCTCTGGGATGTTCAGCAGCATCTGTGGCCTCTACACCTGGGAGGTTAGGGGCCCCCTGCAGCTGTGTCAGCCGGACTTTGGCAAACGTCCCCCCTCGGGATGGGGAAGGGGACACCCTGTCTGAGAGCCACTGGTCTGGACAAAGAGATGTTTCAGAGAGGAAGCAAAACCTACAGATCCTTGTATTCGTGTATTTTCCATAAAGATATGGAGAATGTCGTCGAAATGCAACTTCTGAAAAGCAGTCTGAGAGCAGGGCAGCAGGACAAGGGGCCGAGGCGGACGGAGTCTGCTGACCAAGACCGAGCGCCCTGCGCCGTGGTTTCGTAGGCGGAGCCTGGGTCTGCCCGGAGCGCAGGGCAGGCTCTGGGACCCAGTCGTCACCAGAGTGAAGGGGGTGCTGCAGGGGACATCTCGGGGCAGGTGAAGCCACAGCTCAGAGAGTCCGGGGAAATGCTGTCCTGTTCTGGACTCCAGCCTTCACGTTTCCTTCCCAGGCCTGTCTGTTCCTGTGGCAGCAGAGGACGCATCTCTGACAACACAGTCCCTGCCCAGAGCCCCGAGACTGTGGAATGGGAGCCCCTGTGGACAGCGGGCACCAGGGTCCCTGCGTCAGCACCAGACGCCTTCATTACTTATGGTGGCGTATTACCCATCTCCTGACATTTCTCATACTTTAGAGAAGGCAGAAATAAAATCTTAAGTAAACAGTTTTTTTTTAAAGTGTTTTTATTGATTTTTTGAGATAGAGAGGGAGAGAGAGAAATATCAAGCAGCTGCCTCCTGCACGCCCCCTACCAGGGGTTGAGCCCACCACCCTCCCCCAGCCCTGTCCTGAAACCCTGGCGTGTGTCCTGTGTCCTGTGTCCTGACGGGGAATCGAACCGATGCCCTCTTGATGCGTGGGATGCCGCTCAGTCCACTAAGCCACACCAGCCGGGCAAAGATAGGCTTTGCTGTGTGTACCAGTGCAGGGAGGTTAAGAAGGAAAAGAGGCACTTCGTAGAACTTTATCTGCACCTTGAGGTTTCTTTGCTCTAAATTTAGGACAAACTCGTCCTGCAGAAGGAATGGTCCCTGGTCCGTGTAGACACCCTTCCTCCAAGTCCAGCTCTGCTGTTGTGGGATCGGGGTGGGGGTGCAGGGTCCGGGCAGAAACCTGCTCCGACTTGCCCTGGGAGCTGCCGGCACGACTCAGGATAAAGCTTGTTTCAACCCTGTCAACGCCAGAACCAGCCCCGCGAACATTCATAACCAGAGCACGCATCTCAGGAATTTCCTACCTACCGCTGACAGACGCCGGTCAGCAGGGCCCATGCGCCCGTTCTTCGCCTCTCAGGAGCGTGAACGTGAGATCCCTGCAAATGCGTTTGCAGGAGAAAGTTGCTTTGCAGGCCACAGACCTTCTCTTGTTCCATCATTGACCACAAAAGCGAGTCGGATTATAGTTCCAAGAAGACAGAAGCTTCAGAATATTTTTATATTTTGAAAAACCTGTTGTGAAGCAGGCGACACAACCCACCAGGTCACGAGACGACTGGGGGGAACGAGTCGTCTGTGCTGTTCACGGAGCGATACTCCCGTGTCAAGCACCAAAGGAGCTGCGACTTGAAACTCGCGCTCCGTCTCCTGGTCTTCACAATGTTCTAGACTCAAGAACCGAAACTTAGAACCGTAGGGTTGATTTTCTTTTAGACATTGAAGCAAAGAAGCAAAGGTGTGAGATACAATGTTCCTATCAGAGGAACGAAACACTTCCTATCACAACGGTGACATGAAAGTCTCATGGAGAGAAAGTGCTAACAGCTTCCGGGACGTGCTCCAAATACCACCTCCTGTTTCCCTTTGAAATACATCGCAATAAACCTCTTCAAAAAGACTAAAATTGTCATCGGAAAGTAGAATAGAATGGCTAAAAAAAATGTTTTACATTCAATTTATTTTATTTGAAAAGCCAAAAAGTAAAAGCTCCATCTATCACTACAGCACTTTTATTAATTCAAGAGAAAAGGCAGCAGCCCTAAGACACATGCTCCTGGATACAAAGGGGACCAGACCACGGCCTCGAACACGGAAGCCGCAGCATCTCATTAAAGACGGAAACAACCCAGCAAACCACAAGATCCTCAGTCTCTTGTGAAAAACACCCACAGGAGAGTGTGTGTGATGACCGGAGCTTGGCAGCCTGGCCTTCGCCTGGTGGGCATTCGCGCTGGTGCGCGGCAGCCACACTTTTCAAATCAAATCCCACGTCTGTATTTGTGAGCCTGCGGGGTGGGGCACGTCCTGCAATGCCAAGGGCTGCCGGGCAGAAAGGGGGCGAGGGAGGACGGGTGAGAAGCCGCACGGGCGGGGGGCTGAGACTGAGGATGTTTCCCGTAAGGACACCCCCAGGAAGTGTCCTGGCCTCGGGCACTGGGCTGGGAGCTGAGGTGGAGGTCTCACTGGTCAAAGGTCCCGAGCCGGGAGACTGTTGGGGCCCTTCTGAACCTCAGCCTGAGCCCCGACATCCTGCAGCCTCGGCTTGGCTGTCCCGGGACGTCAGGGAACCAGGGGCGAGTCAGGAAGTGCCTTCTACGTCCCCCTCGATACACAGTACACGGCTGACCTGAGAAATACCGAGTTCTCAGAAACGTGTGTGACTTGCCCCAGGAAATGAAAACTACACAGTCGGGTCCAGCAACCGCCCGAGTGCTGCCGTCCACTCAGAGAGGTGGAATTATTTCGGGGTGAGTTCGGGGCCCACAGGCCCCACGGCCCCACCACACGACGCTCCAGGCTGGAGTCTGTGGCCTCGCCATGGTGACAGGGCTGTCAGCAGGAGGCGCAGGAGAGTGTGACGCAGGAGGGACAGAGGTGCTGGATTGGGGTCTGGGGGCCCCGCTGCAGTCCCACCGGCGCTTTGTCCCTGCAGTGAGCCAGGACGCACCTGCTGGGGTCGCAGGGCTGTGAGCTCCCGTGAGGTCCTGCTGGCGGCCACCTGGCTGGGATGTACACGACCCGACAGGCCGTGCAGGCAGGGCCCCCTCAGCAGCGGGACACGAGGACACCCCACGAGCAGAGCTGACTTTCCATGTGGGAAGGAGCGAGGACTACGGTGCAGTGGGAGCTACCGCGGGTTAAAACAGGACACAGAACAGGGGCAGCGCTCGGAGCAGTGACACAGCCCCGGACACACTCCACTGGCCAGGGCAGGTGGCCGAGGGATTAACCGGGCGGTGTCACCATCCCACCCTGGGGCCTCAGGGTTTTGAGGGGAAGGGATTTTCCAGTCAAAGGGGAAGAATCATTGTTCACATGGGTGGGAGGAGTCGGGGCCCTTGCGTGTGTGTGTGTGTGTGTGTGCGCGTGTGTGTGTGACAAACACAAGCTCCTTCTCAGCACATCCTTCCGACACGGCCGGGAGAGTCTCGTCCAGGGCGTGTGATTTTCACGACGGAGTATGTGACTGTCCCTGGAGGGGCCGGGCGTGACCTGCGGGGCTCGCCTGGCACCGCTGGGCTTTGAGGAGCAGCTGGGTCACCCCTCCCTCTGTGAAATTAGCTGATGTTCATGTTTGCAGGCTCACAGGTCTTGTTTGTCGGTGTGAAACCCCCTTTCCTGCAGGCTGATTAAGTAGGACAATCCAGAAGTACGGGCAGGCCCCTTTGCGGACCCTCTGGGAGCGGGGCCACCACCAGGAAAGGGGCAGAGCCTCCTACCTTGTGGCCCTTCTCGGCGCCGACCTCCCGCTTTCCCGCGTGGTTCCCCATCCTGCACGCGTGGAGCTGCCGACGCTGGAAGAGAGGACAAGGGTCAGAGTTTCCCGCCTTTCTCCATCAGGACTGCAGCCCCGTGTGGGGTGCCCTGCCCTTCCCGGAGGGACAAGACTGAACCCCAAACCCAGGACACAGCGGACCCCTCCGTGGTGGGCCCCGGAAAATAGGTGGGACATAGGGGAGCTGCCGACCCCACTTCTGCTCAGCAGCAAACACATTTCGGGGTGTTTCCTCCTCCGTAATAAACACCAGCCATCTCCGGCGACCTCCGAGGCTGCGTCTACACAACACACACGCAGAGGGGTCACAGCTCCGGAGCCCACGAGGGAAGGAAGGAGCGGCGCTTCCTGCCCGGGGTGGCGTGAGCCCGGAAATCCAGGCCCGGCCACGTGGCTCATGAGACAAGTATGCCGAGAATCCGCAGACTCTCCAGGGGAGGCGACGCTAGATAAAAAACCGAAAGTGTGTGTTTCTAGTTCCTATTTTTTAACCCAAACATTAGAAGCAAATTTGAAATGTTTCTCCCCCCAAAGGCACAGCACTGAAGAGTTTAGCGGGGACCCATTCCAAGCACATTTGTGTCCCACCGCGTCCTGGCACCGGCCCCGACCTGGGGTGCCCGGTGCCGCCACCCTTAGACCCGGCCGCCTGGCGCAGGACTGCGCTCTGAGAGCCACAACTCCCTGCTGAACAACGTTCTTTCAAAGGTGGTGCTGGCGTGTTCATGGCCCCGTAATTGATGATGGGGAAAGTCACTGTGTGCCCGCCAGCTGAACCTGTTTTGTAAAAAATTTAACCAACGGGATAGAGATCAAAATAACCTCAGTAAATTGGAAGACTCCCTGAACCAAGAAATTGTTGGGAGCCGGCTACGTGTCTGACAGAGTCCACAGGGCCTGGAGGTCTTGAGTCAGAGACTTGGCCTCCCCCACAAGCTCAAGGAACCAGGTTTGCATTGTGTTTGTGCAGCTCGGGGCTATGTGTGACCCAGTGTACCTTGAAATACCTGAAATACCTGGGTGAGCCTGGGTGTGCCTGTTACCCGAAAGGCAAACTAATTCTGTACAGCATTGCTGTGGCCCTGGGCATTATATCCAGAAGGTCCCATTTCTGTAAGGTGTCAAAGGCATGTGATAAAGCGTATCGGGGCTGGTTCCGAAGACTCTGTCACAGGGGTGTTTGGAATCAGACGCCGGCCGGCTAATAAACGGCTCTTATTTGGACTTCAATTCCCTAGTGGTCTTTCTTTGACTCTGTCGCGACACAACAAGGTCACAAAAATGAATCATTTTCTAAAAATAGGAAGGTGAATTTCTAAAATATTACGTGTCTGGGGGGAACGTACGCATGTTGCCCGGAAGGCATTCTTCGGGAAAGGGGGGGCTTCCTGATATCTGAATCCCCAGGTCGCCCGCATACTGTCGGGATGCTCTTCAGAAGGCTGGGCCTCCGGACGGGAGAGAAGGAAGCCAGGACGTCAGACCGGTCACCTCCCAGTGTGTGGGGTCGGCGGCTGTCACAGGCGGAGAGCGGACAGCACCCCTTGCCCCGTGGACAGGCGCCCTGGGCAGGAGACATTTCCAGGGAGAGCCGGCGCAGGGGGAGAACCACCGAGCGCTCACCTCGAGCAGCTTGGATGCAAGCGCAACAATGTGTCCGGAAATCAAAGACGTGGTCCAAGCGGTGGCAACACACTGTCTTTGCAGCATCGTGCGAATCCCTCATGTTTCAGGAGAGTGAACACAAATCCCACTTCTTTAGCGTGTACGCTTCTTATAATGCAAGACAGCTCTGCCGATAATTTCAGGATGAAATGAGTCTATCATCCGCCTTCCTCTCATTCAAATGAGACCTGAAACACCCTTAGGGGTGATGTCACTGGGCAGACATGTCACAGGAGGTTTGGGGCGCTCTCCTCGACACGAATGGGTGCAGGGGGCGGGGGGACAGGCTCCATCTGTCCTCGGGGGGCCTGAGCTCTAGTCAGAGAGCATGAGTGGGTGGACAGCAGCATCACTCTGAAATCTGGCCCCTCTTTAATTCCATGCCGGGCTTCAACTCGACACGGAGAACTTACAACACGTATACAGTACGCAGAATGACAATGTGGGTCCATCTCCCCGTTTAAGAAATAGGAGTCAGTCTGTTTGACACGAAGCACCGGAAAACAGTGAACTTATTTTCATCAAAGCCGGCAGCTTGACCTGGCCGGTTTGGCTCAGTGGTTAGAGCGTCGGCCTGCGGTCCTGAGAGACCCGGGTTCGGTTCCCACTAAGGGCATGTACCTCGGTTGCAGTTTGTCCCCGGCCCTGGTCGGTTGTGCGGGTGGCAGCCACTCGATGTGTCCCTTCACATCGATGTTTTTTTCTCTCTCTGTTCCTCTCTCTCCCTCCCACTCTATCTGAACAAAAGATGGAAAAATGTCCTCGGGTGAGGATAAAAAATAAAAAAAATAAAAATAAAAAAAATAAAGCCGGCAGTTTGGACTCCCCGGGTTTCCCCCGTGTCACCGTCTCTGTTCTTTCCGGGGAGCACCTTCGTCCAAGTGCAGTAACCCCCATCCCGCCTCCTCCGCTCCGTCAGGCCCTCACCCCTCTCCCCGGCTGGCATTAGGTACCCCCACAGTGAGGCTCCCTCCTCCAGATAGCCAGCCTCTAAGTTCTTAGCTACAGCAAAGTGGGGTGGGGCCAGTCGACATCTGGGGGCTGCCTGTGGACTAGGGGTGTGTTTCGGGATGAGGGGTCTGGGGAGCACAGCTGAAATCGAACCAGAGACGCCTCCCCGGCTCCCGGGAGAAGGAATAGTTCTCCCGGCATCTCTGATCATCACCTCCTCAGGCTTCAGGGTGAAACTTCGGGCTCCACTGGGGGGAGCTGTAATCAATATTTACGAAACTGTGACTGTCGGGCAGACACAGAACAGACTGAAGTCATGGGGCAAGTTCAGGCGCGGCACAGGGACGCGGTCCAGGCCTCTGACAAAGGTGCAGGGGCCTGGTGGGCCCTGCTGGGGGGGAACCACTTCGTGTCAATGTCCGATCACCCTGTTGGACCCCTGACACTGACACAACACTGTGTCAGCTGTAACTGAAAACCACAGACATCAGAAAACAGCCTGTGCTGAGCGGGGCGGGGAGACCGGAATGCCGCCGGCCCCCAACAGGAAGTGCTGAAGGGGGGTGCGGGGGTGGGGGGGGCACCGCCACACCAGGCAGCCTCCAACGCCAAGTGCTGAATGGCCACTCCCACCCCTGAGCGCCTTTCCCCGGGTCATGGGATTCTCAGGACATCTGCTCATACATTCACTGTGACATGGGGGTTTCCATTCAAACTTCCCCCAGGGCTGGCCCCGCAGATGTGGCCACCCCGTCATCTTCCCTACCTCCCTACGCCCACACGTGACAAGAGGAGATAAACAGAAACTCGGGGTGCAGTGAGGCGGGGCGGGGCGGGCTGGGCTGCCGTCTCTTATCTGCACGGCACTCGTATGGGGTCCCCTGCTGATCAGCTCACCCAGGAGGTTGCCACGGCGTAGGAAACAGACCACGGCTGTATAATTCTTACAGACGTAGGGTTCTTTGGGCTTCGGTTTGATGAGATGCTGTTGGCTGGACAATCGTTATTTTATTGAGTCCGTGATCAGGAGAGCACCCCTGAGTGATGCTCGTGGGGGGACGGGGTGGGGCTGATCTCACAGGGCTGTGCCGTCTCCACGGAGTGTGATTATAGGAATAACCTGGGAGCTCGATCCCCGTGTCACAGCTGAGAAAGTGACATTCAGAAGGCCGACTGCACTGTGAGAATAGCCTCTAAAACATGTTTCAGTTAAAAATAGGGGTTCCCTGGCCCTGGCCAGTGTGGCTCAGCAGTTAGAGCGTCGGCCCATGACCAGAGAGTCATGGGTTCGATTCTGGCCGAGGGCATGTGCCTCGGTTGTGGTTCGTCCCCGGCACTGGTCAGGGTGGTGCGGGAGGCAGCCAGTCGATGTGTCCCTCTCACGTCGATGCTTCTCTCTCTTTTCCTCCCTCCCACTCTGTCTGAAAATATCTCCGGGTGAGGATTTAAAACAATAGAGGTTCACTGGGTGTTGTTCGCATTATGAATATGTGTTAGGTGGCAGGTCTGAGACAGAGACATGTCTACATCACTAACACGAGGAAGAGGAGCGTCCCTGTGACCACAGCCCTGGGCAAGCACAGGGCGAGGACCTCACGCCACCTGGGTGTGGACGGTTTTATGATGAGACCTGCAGGCTTTCCATGTGCTCCCTGAGATCTCCGTGATGGGGGCATGGGGGGAGGGCGCTGGGATCCAGCTCCCTGAGATCTCCGTGATGGGGGGGATGGGGGGGAGGGCGCTGGGATCCAGCTCCCTGAGATCTCCGTGATGGGGGGATGGGGGGAGGGCGCTGGGATCCAGCTCCCTGAGATCTCCGTGATGGGGGGATGGGGGGGAGGGCGCTGGGATCCAGCTCCCTGAGATCTCCGTGATGGGGGATGGGGGGGAGGGCGCTGGGATCCAGCTCCCTGAGATCTCCGTGATGGGGGATGGGGGGGAGGGCGCTGGGATCCAGCTCCCTGAGATCTCCGTGATGGGGGGATGGGGGGGAGGGCGCTGGGATCCAGCTCCCTGAGATCTCCGTGATGGGGGAATGGGGGGGAGGGCGCTGGGATCCAGCTCCCTGAGATCTCCGTGACGGGGGGGGGGTGCTGGGATCCAGCTCCCTGAGATCTCCGTGACGGGGGGGGGTGCTGGGATCCAGCTCCCTGAGATCTCCGTGCCGGGGGAGGGCGCTGGGATCGTGGGAGCTAACCAGAGAACTATCTACCTTGGAGCTGAGCCACTTCAATGTCTCAGCTTCGGCTCTCTCACCCTCTCTGCAGTGCGGGGTCCTGGAGGGTTAAATGGGGGGCCAACCAGCCCCACCCCTGACCCGAGCATCATCGCCTGTCCCCCTTCAGAGAAGGCCTCTGTGGTCCGTGAGGGGCCCAGGGCAGAGGGGACAGACCGGCAGTGCCCATGGTGCCCGTAGATCTCAACTGCCAAGGTCCACCCTTCCTGTGATCACATTTTCCGGGAACTGTATCTCTCCACACTCGTGTCCGGGGTGACCGTTCGTGTATGAGATTTCAGAGCGAGGTTTCTTCTGTTCCGACGCCCTCTGCAGTGTGACCAGTGCCAGCGAAAAACCAGAGGGTCTTCAGGGGTGGGGAGGGCTGAGAGGGCCAGGGGCTGAGGCGCCCTCTGGCCGCGGAGCTGGGTCGGTGAGGAACCCCTGACCCTGAGCCCACAGCTGACCCCCACCCCCCGGCACAGGGAGCATGAACACGCACGTGGTAGATGTAGAACCCCCCAGGGGGCACCCTTGCTTTCTTCAACTTTTAAAAATTCACAGGAGCATTGTTCTCACAATTCCATGAGCTTTGGCACAAAGGTCAATGGCATCTGCTTTCTGCTGGATTTTAGGGGCAGCCAGCCCTCCCCATTCTGGCTACAGAACAGCCCCGGCCCCGCGGAACCTCCGGCTGAAGCCAGGGGCTGTCGCCTCTCGGGCCTGCAGGCCTCGGAGTTCGCTCCGTGAAACCCGCAGAAAGGTAGGCGCGGTCGCCCACGACCCCAACGCCCACGGTCTGTGGAAGCACCGCGAGCCGGTCGGGAGTGCTGGCATTTGGGGGGTGACCTGGCTGCATACTAGAAGGATGACAGGACGGCGAGGGTGACGAAGCAGTTTCAACGCGACAGGCCCCTGTGCCCTCTGAGTCCTGTGCTGAGTGCGACGGCGTGTAGGCGGAGTCCCGGGGACGGGACAATGTGAACAGGTGACCGAGCAGGAAACCGACAACCCAAAGCGGCGTCACCTCTCCTTGGGGACCCCAAAGGCAAGACAGGCTGGGCCCTCGGAAGAGCAGGAGGCTGACAGTCCCCCGTCCTTGGGGGAGGCCCCCCACCCCCAGCATCCAGGCAGGTCCCCAGGGGCCCTGGGAACCAGCTTCCCCCAGAGCGGCCTCCTGGTGGGTGGGGTTCACAGATGAAACAGGCCCTGCGGCCTCCAGGAGGTCACATAAAGGTGACGTGAGGCAGAAAGCTGGGGGGGCAGACAGGTAACTCTATTGAATCTCGGAAAGAAAACCCAGAGAGCACATTTGCACCACGAGGAGCTAGTGTACACGGAACAGAAAGGCGGCTGCTGGCCCCCCTCGCCTCTTCGGGGAGACAAGTTCTCCGTGTGAGAGCAGAAAGGTGCAGCTGGCGGCTCTGGGCACCTGGCAGGCCCGGCCCGCAGTCAGGTCCAGACGGGCCTTTGCCTTTCTGTGCCGCGCAGGGTCTGCTGGGCATGCGCAGGGCACACCCTCCCCCCTCCCCGGGTGGGCGTGGACGCCGGAGGCCGTGCAGTCCTGGGGGCCCCGCCCACGGTCCCACCCAGAGGCCTAGGCCTGGGACAGGCATGCGGGGCTCCCAGAGAAAGACCCCAAGCCTGAGTGGGGCGGGCGCCGCGGCTCGCCCCTTATCTGAAACCCGGGAGGGAGCGTGGAAACGCTGGTTAATATCTCACAGGCCGCTGACGACACGTGTGAGTCAGAAGGGGAATGAAGCCCAGCAGGGCCTTGGCCTCTGCGACTGACCCCTGCACCCGGGTGGCATTCCCCTCATTTGCCAAGCGGGAGTCACGTGTGCCACACAGCCCAGGAGTCTGACAGTGTGATTAGCGGGGACGCAGCTGTTGGTGTGCTGCTGCCACAGGTCTGCGTGTG